TATGTCTGTTTTGTTAAAATAGATGTTAACAGTTTGTATGTTGTTGGAAGACATGTAATTGGTCTATAGTTTTTCGGAATATTTGTGTCACTATTTTTGGGTAGAAGAAAGGTAACTCCTTTGGTCATCCATGCAGGAATTTTAGTTGGATCGGTAACCATTTCTTGAAGTTCTTTGGCGAGTTTTTTGTGTGCTGTATTTAAATAATATAGCCAGAAGTTAGAATTTTATCTATTCCTGGAGATTTCCAGTTGTGTGCTTTTTTCAGTGCACATTTAACATCTTCTTCTGTGATTCCCGCCCATGTCTGTTCTGGTTTATTTTTCATTCGTTCTAACTCTTGCGCAATCCAATCTGCCTCTTCGTTGTGTTCTTTAGGGCAAGCCCATATTTTTCCCCAGAACTGTATAACTTCTTCCATTTTAGGGGGACTGTCACTTCAATTCTTTGTTTACCTATTTCCCTGTAAAATTTTTTTTTGCATCGGTTTGAAAGATCTTGTTCTGTCTATAGAATCTTGATCTTTTCTCGTAGCGTCTTATTCTTTGAGCCTTCAGTTGTATTGTTTGTTTTATTTTTTTCTTTAGTTGATAGGACTTCATTTTCATTCCTGATATTGTATTTTCTTTCGACTCTTCTGCCTTTTCTAGTTCTTACATTTACTCCTCTTGCTAGTTCATCGAGTACTGATAATTCACTTCTAAGGTGTTCAATTTCTTTTTCTATTTTTCTTTTCCAAGGTGGATCTTCATGTCTGTGAGACTGCCTTTTTTTTACTTTGATGTTCAGTTTATTTGTTGCTGCTATTGCTGATGCATATATTGCTTCATTGAGATTTATATGAGTGTCTTCTTCATCCAGAATCAATTTGAGTGCTGCATTATAGAGCTTAATAGTTTTGAGGTTATGCTTTGTTGGTTGTAATTTTGGGAGTTGTTCTCGTTCCTCCATTGCAATATTCTGTATCTGACTTATATGGCTCATGATTTCATCCTTGGCTTCTTGTATATTAATCTTGTTTTCTGTGAAATAATTCTGTTCGATGAATTTTGAACTCGTTTTATTACCGTCTTGTGACTGACTAAGATCATACCTTTCCAACATTTCTAAATTTTCAGCATTATCTTCACAGTGATTTGTGTGTATTTCGGTTTTTTCATTATGACCTGAGGCTTGTGTGATGTTATTACTTTTTTTTTTCCGATTCCGGTTCCTTTTCATGTTTTGTTGGTTCATCTATTCTTGTTGCAATTCTTTTTATTTCATTAATTTCAGCCTCTGTCAATCGGTTATTTCGCATGATGTCCCTTCTTACATTGGCTAGTTTATTTTGTCTATGTACTTTCTAATTGTTTGCCCAACCTTCTCTCGCCAAATGTCATATGTTTGGCGAGTGATGTTTTTCTGAGGTTTGAGTAACGCTTCATGGAATGCAGTCATAACAACTTTGTACTCCTCACGAGACCATTTTATTTTTTCTTTCCTTAAATTTACGGTTATGGATCTAGCTGGAGAATTTACAGGACCATCATTAGGATTATCCTGGTTGTGGGGACCTGAAGATTCATTCTTTGTGTAGGAGTTTGTTCCTATGGCAGATTTTTTCGACCTCAGGTAGGTTCCCTCCTGAAGGACGGGCTCCCTGTTTATCCACTGGAAGAGCCATACTGGACGTTTTGTTTCTATTTTAATTTTCATATTAATCCCACGAGTGACGCACGGGTCCAAAAGTCCACCCAAAGTTGCCCGGCACGTTGAGTAACGGTCTTTTTACAGACAGGGTTCCGAAGCCTGTAGGGGATCGTTCGCGACCTCATAACGCAGTAGCCATTCACTCCTCGGCACGATTAACACCTTGAGTTGCGGGTTGTTGTTCGGAGTTTTCCTTCTCCTAAATGGGTTGCAAGCAACAATAGACAGAGACACGATTGGAAATCAAAGAGAATGACGCTGGTTAAAAAAAAAAAAAAAAAAAAAAAAAAGTTTACATTCGTTTGTCTTTGCTGTGAAATTTAAAAATAATTTATTGGCCCATCTGTAAATTCCACGATATTCCTTCTTAGAAAGATCGCATTTTCTTTTCATAAATTCATAAAATGTAATATGTAAATGTAAATTCCGTTATTTTTTAAAGTCGTTGAAAATAGCGTTGTTTAAAAAAAAAAAAAAAAAAAAAAAAAAAAAAAGTTTACATTCGTTTGTCTTTGCTGTGAAATTTAAAAATAATTTATTGGCCCATCTGTAAATTCCACGATATTCCTTCTTAGAAAGATTGCATTTTCTTTTCATAAATTCATAAAATGTAATATGTAAATGTAAATTCCGTTATTTTTTAAAGTCGTTGAAAATAGCGTTGTTTTAAAAAAAAAAAAATGCAATCCTTCTAAGAAAGAACATCGTAGAAATTGTATTGTTTTTACCTGTAATGTTTTTTGCGGGTGGATATTGAAAACTAAGGGATATGTGAATGAGAAAAATTAAATAATTGATTAATCTATCAGTATTATTTAAAGGAGAACCAAATAAATTAAATAATAATAATACGAAGAAAAATTCATGCTTACGCTAAAATAGTAAAAATAACAAAATTTCATATGCGTTAAAAAAAAAAAAAACTTGGAAGAAACAGCCGCTCAACGAAACAAAACATCACTACACTAGAGAGTATTTATATTAAATTTTTTTTTTTTTTTTTTTTTCGCCATCACTAGTCCTAGTAACAAAAATAATTGTCATAAAAAAATTAAAAGTTTACATTCGTTTATCTTTGCTGTGAAATTTAAGAATAATTTATTGGCCCATCTGTAAATCCCGTTATTTTTCAAAGTCGTTGAAAATAGCGCTATTGAAAAAAATACGCAATCCTTCTAAGAAAGAATATCGTAGAAATTGTATTGTTTTTTACCTGTCATGTTTTTTTTTTTTGGGGGATATTGAAAACTGAGGGATATATGAATAAGAAAAATTAAATAATTGATTAATCTATCAGTATCATTTAAAGGAGAAACAAATAAATTAAATAATAATAATACGAAGGAAAATTCATGCTTACGTTAAAATAGTAAAAATAACAAAATTTCATATGCGTAAAAAAAAACGTTACGTTTGGAAGAGCTTCTTAAAACACGTCATTCTCGTTGTAATCCCAACCGCGTCTATTATTATTATTATTATTATTATTATTATTATTATTATTATTATTATTACCATATAATAATAGAAAAGTATTGCTAAACGAAGTTAAAAATATAGAACTGATAATTTCTTTGTCTTTTTTGTTTCAAATTATTTAAAATCTACGACAGTGCGTATGTAAATCCAAATAAACAAATGCATTTATCTACCTATCATGTGACTATTGCATCATATGGCCGATGGGAATTGAGTTATGATTTCCGTTGCAGGCTACGAATGGAGGCGCGTAAAGAACTCTTCAAACAATGGTGGAGAAAGTAGGGAGAAAGGAGTGGGTGCTGTTATTCTTGTACTATGCGCTTCCTCTACTTGGGCGCAGGTGACCCATGTGCAATTGGCGAGCTCAAGAAAAATCAGATGTCAAGCGTTCTTTCGAATAACCCCAAAGATATGTCGAGATGATCGCTTCCGGGAAACGAGCATCACTAAGTAAACGTTTTGCAGCATTGCCTTTAAATGTGGTCCCCAATCCTTCCTATTTACACCAAAACATTACTTTGAGCTCTGGTTAGAATTAATTTTCCTTTTCTCACCTTTAAGTAGATATACAGAGCGTCCCCAAAAATGGATACACACGTCTGAAAAGTAAAAACTTGTCTTTCGTAGTTTTATCAAACTGCAATAATAGCATTTACTATGGGTGAAAATATATAGTTCGTTATACCAATAAATATCTAAAGGTCACCATTTTGAGCAGCTCTTGTGATTGTCAAGTCCAAAGGTAACTTGTATTAAACTCGTGATGTCTGAATAAATTTAGTATTACAATATCTATACAAGTTTTTCCTTTCCTGAAGTGTGTATACATTTTAGGGTGAAAAACTTTCTCTCTCTTTCTTTCTCTCTCTCTCTCTATATATATATATATATATATATATATATATATATACAGAGAGAGAGAGAGAGAGAGAGAGGGAGAGAGAGAGAAAGAGAGGAAGAGGGAGAGAGAGGGAGAGAGAGAAAGATACAGAAACAGATACAGAGAGATGTTGAATATAACATTAATCAGCTAAGTGATAAATTTAATATTTCTATATAATATAAAATAATAAGAAAGACCAGAAAGATTTATAATCCAGTGTCCTTATCAATTATTTTTATTTAAAAAAACTGCTCGATACAAACATTAGAGAAAATATAATTTTTTTAAATATGATTTCATCGCGACACAGAAAATTTCCATGTTTTAAAACTGAAAGTAAATTTATAAATTTAATTATAAAAAATAAACTCAAAATCCATAGTCTCGTTCCATTGTCAAGCGATGTTAGGAATAACTTTCTAAGAAATATTGATATTATGAGTTGTTAAGGTTAAGAAAAATCTATTTTATTCTATGGGTGGTTGGGTTTTAATTCCCCTAGACAACTTATGTATCCAATATATGTTACTTACAAAGTCAGGTTATGTTTAGGTTGGGTGGGGAGTGCCTGCTAACAAACGTATACTTCCGTTATTCAGTGAGTCGTCTGGGTTTTCAATGACAAAAGATTAGCATTTTTATTCATCAGCTTAATTCATATAAAATGAAATAAGAAAAGATAAAGCTTGCAGGTCATTAAATGACCTATGCCCTTTGTACACGCATGAAAGATTATAGATTAAGTTTCTGAAAAATAAAAATTTACTAATTCAAAGAAATGATATAGCCTGTTTTGTATGCACTGTCAAGTATTTATCGGTAGTACTGTTTCCCCTGGGTACTATCTGCTCCATGGATTGAACTGATAATTATGATACCACCAATTTCATAAACGAATGTTTTAATCCCCCTTGTTATTGTTCCATGTGACAAATCGAAACATTTGAAACACCGTTTCCCGTACGATCACCGAAGTTAAGCAACGCCAAGCATGGTCAGTACTTAGATGGGTGACCGCTTAGGAATATCAGATGCTGTAGCTTGTGTGTATATATGTAGCATAATAGATAATGGCTCGGAATTGTTAATCGCAGAGCCGAGTACCAATTCCAATTGGGCTTCTTTATATTCACTTACGTTCAAATACCTGTGGAAAAGGTATGAATTCACCTCTTCTCTCCTAGCTATGGGTTAATTAGTAAGACATGAATCACTAGAATCATTATTATCTAAAAAAAATATAATCTAAAAATATTTTCTTACTTTAAATAATCTGTAATAGGTTGATAAACTATAAAAAAAAATCACTCAAAATCTACAGCTTTAAATCAAATGTTCTTTTGGTTTGACGTTAAACTGCATTTGACATCAAAATCTCTGATCGGGAGTTTCTGAGGAACGTGAAACCAACTCGTAATTGTTGTTGTTTCCAGGTCAACTGTGACCTGGGGGTTTTCGCACCTGTTAAGGTCCCAGCTATGGGTAAATAGTTACCCCCCAAAACTGGAGTCAAAACATTATGAAAGTATAAAAATACATTTTCATAGTAAAAAATAGCAGTAATATATATTTTTGTCAAAGAAATTACTAATGCGCTCCACTTAAATTAAATTTCGGCATTAAATGACATATAAGGAGTTGAAATGCCGCTAAACAAACAAACAACCCAATCAAATGTTCTTATTGCTCTCTCTGCTCTGTTTTGTTAACCAATCCCTGAAGGTTATACGGGTAGAAAAACACCTGAAGAAGACAGGATGACCCAACTACCGATACGTTGTGATAATGACAATAAAGATGAAGATATTCGTTTGAATGTAAATTCTGTAAATAATCCTGATATTTAGTTTATTTATCTTTATTTCATTGTTTGCTTATTTATTTGTAATTTCTTTTATTTATTTTTGTGTGTATAATGACATTATACCAATATATATCTTAACCCTAACCCTAAGCCTGTCAAGCAAACGGTATGAAAAATGTGGCACCAAAATCGAAAGACGCGTTCAAACAGCGAAAGATGCCCCAACAAAACTAAACAAAATCTATAAAAGCAAGAATATGAAAACTAAGATGAGATAACTCAATTGCTGTGTAATAATGGTCCTCGTATATGACAGTAAATGCTGTCACCATTGAAGCAACAGGAGGATGCTTAGAATATTGTTGACTGAACAGGTGAGCAACGAGAAAGTTTTACGGAAAAAGGGCGAAAGAAAAAGATACTTTTACTTAGAATAAAAAAAGAGAAACAGTTGTAATTACTGGGAAAATAACAAGGAAAGAGGACCTGGAAAATTTGTCACACATAGGACATATTGAAGACAAGAGGGGGAGCATCCCGTAGGATAAGTGATGAGCAGATATAGATGACAGAACAAATATGGTAGGTATAGTAAGGGGGAAAACCTGCTAAGAGCTAAAAATGAATAGAAATTTGTGGAGAACTATGATCTTCCATGTCCCGAAGGGATACAGCACATAAAAGAAGATTTTAAACAGCGGCATTAATAAAGATCTCAAATCCAGTACATCTAAAGAATGTTAGATAAAATCAGAACAACGTTCGCCTCTTGAATTCCATTAAGACAAAAAATGGTAAAGAATTAGCTTAGGTGCCTCGTTGGAAATCTTTTAGCGTTTCCTGGAATGTCAGAAGATTTCTTGAATATCTTGTCCATGTTGCCTTTTGCCATAACGCTACAAACATCCGCTGTTTGACTTTCTCTTTCGACTACATCCCGTTATCTTTGTCGGTCACCCTGTCAAACATGCACATCCGGTTAGAGGTAATAATAAGGTCAGATGGTGCGGGGTTACTTCCTGTACAACAGGAAACAGAATTTAAGTTGTCATTTGTGTCATTTGCGTCGAGGTTAAGGAAACCGGATACATTTGGTGATGATTAGCTCAACTCAGGTTCGTGAAGGTTGAAAAAAGAAATTGCTCATAAACAATATCTAATCAACAAGTTTTCAAATCCGATTTTTTTTGAGCGCTTCGCTGGTAAACAACGTGTATTTCCCTTCAGTTTTAATTTCAGAATGACATAAATGTTCAAATATTTCATAATCAGAAAATCATCAACACATTTTGACTGTTCTTTGCCGCCTCTTCTTTTCACCTGCAAATTATCAATCCCATGTGAAAAAAATAGATTCATTTTTATGCAGCCCAACTCTTTCTGGGACTTCCCCGTTTGTATTCCAAGTGCAGCGAAAAAGCTGCAGTATTAAGAAAAACAACATTTTTTTCTTCTTTTACCGATAATTTCAAACTAATTTCATTTTTTTCTATTTCACGGCGTCATTATGTCTAATTTTCTTATGCATGTCTTTAATTGTAATATTAGCCGCGTTCTTATAAGGAAATATTTACCGAGCAGCCTGTGCTACCGTCGATGGAAATTTATAGAATCTTTCTATTAAAACGTGGCAAGCCTCTCTTTGTTTCGCCAGTTCTAACCTTTATAGCAAGGACCCACCATGCGACTTACAGTGTAGCAAACCACCCACACCGCCTCCGTATTCCATCGGTGAGAAGTAAATTCCACTTGAACAGCTTCTTCCCACGAACCACTGCTCTCTGAAACCGACTCCCAAGGGGATGTTTCCGCGATCACTACAACCATAACCTGTTCAAGGCTAAGGTTAACCGTTATCTTCCACTCCTGTCTACACAAAATGCCTTGTAACCTCCTACCTCGAGTGACACCCTGACCTTGTAAATAGGTGAATCTTACTGTAAAAAAATAATTAAAAGATGTTTGGCTATTTGTGGGTTATCTGTCGCCACTTTTTAATTAGTGATCTTTTATAAAGTTAGATGTGATATTTAAAATGTTTTTATTTGCTTTTCAATTAATTGTTTTGTGTTTGTTTTTTTTGTTTTTTTTTCGTTTTTTTTCTTTTTCAAACTGTTAAATGAATCTTCGGAATAGTATACATTAAACATCTGTATTTGTGAAAAAGTTGGAAAATTAATTTTAAAAAGTGGGAACACATGAGCTACAATTACTTTTTCATAAAAATAAGTTCCTCAAGTCCAGTAACTGCTGCCACTCATTCCAGTATTGGTAGCGGTTTCATTCTTAACCTTTTGTTTGAAGTCGTTTGGAACGTCAACATTTGGATTATGTCATTATTTTCTCTTCGAGTTACATGTCCTATATTTTTAATTTGATGTTGCTGTTGAAGCCCTTAAATGATGTGGTTTCTATACAGTTCTTTGCGATTCTGTAGCACCAGTCCACAAGGTCTGAAGAAGAATGGTCCTCGCTAAGACCTACTGGCTTTGTTTTCTCGAAGTCCTTTTTGAGCGATTGATCTGAGAAAGCGATTGTATACGGCTGATAGTTTACATATTTCTGAACGAGTCTGGCGCCATGTATAACTATAAAAAATTTAACTCCCAACCAAATCTAAACAGCGTAAAATTTTAAAGGGAAAACATTCAAGACAGAAAAAAGGAAAAATATATAAATACAAAAATTGACAATAAGACCCATGAACAAAAATTTCCTTTAGTGCGCCTTATAAATAATTAAGACATGATAACATTTACAGATATATTGCAAAACAAAAAAAGGATTACCATCGAAAATGATGAAAAGGATTACAATTCTGAAAATGACAAAAAGAGAAAGCACATTCAAGAAGGCAGTAAAACAAATGTGCAACAACCTTTTAGAAAAAACGGAAAAAAATCTACTTTTACTTTTACTATATCTCTGGGACATAAAACAATTTTGGAAATGTCTTTTTTATATTTACATTACACTGTTTCGCGCTTCAGTGAAATCTTTGGAAAATTTTCTTTGAATTCTCTTTTCGTTCTTTGTTGTTCAAACGCAGGAGAATTTTTTCCTGTGAACTTGAAAATTCTTTAGTCTTTCTGCAGCGGGCATGTAACGCTGTGCATTCTCGCCTCAATATCTAGATGCTTTCTTCTTGGTGTTAAATGCCTTCTGCTTGCTCTCTTATTGATTTCAAAAATGCTTTCTGTGGTTATATTCTCAAAAAAAGAGGCTCACAAAAAGTTCCATCCAAGTTTTCACAAGGACTACGTCTCTCATTGGTTAAAAATTACGAAAAATACCTTTTTTGCAAATTCAAAATGAATTCTTAACAATTTTGTCGGATTTTAAGCCCTGTGCCTAAAAAAAATTACATGTGTAACAATTTTTTACATAAACCTTCTGGTTTTCTTAAAAATACACTTCTCTCAAAAGAATATGTAAAAAAAACAACCTAAACGATTAAACATTTATTTATTACACAAAGACTATGGTAATAAAAAATAAAATTTTTATATGACACCCATATGACACTCTCGATCAAACGAGACTATTTAAGAACAGGAATCGAGTTTTTAAGCTAAGATTCATACTCTACAACGTTCTCTGTTGTCCACCATAACAAAATGATTTCAGAAAAATCAAATTAATGGAAATGATGCAGCCTTTTTAGATAATGATCGAATAAAAAACTCATAGGCAACCCTTAGAGGAAACGTATAAGAGAATGGAAAACAATATTCAAGAAATGTTCAACTCAGAGAAACAATAAAACAGCTGTAAGTAACGTTAAAATCAATTCAGTAGAGAACTTAACAAAATCAGTGGATAAAACTTAAAGAATGACAAAGAACCCATATTAACATGTAAGATCAAAATAATTTATTCAGGCGCATAAGATATTTTCTGCACAAAAGATGCTGAGAATCCCAAAGACTGAGCATGTGAGTAAGGATGAAGTTTTAAGGAAAATGAAAACAAAAAGGACACTTTTACTTACAATCAAAACGAGACAGCTGAAATCTCTTGGGCACATCATGAGGAAAGGAGAATTTAATATTGAAAGGCAACACAGACAGGGGACAGCAGCGAAAAGACTACATTTTCTAAGAGTTACAAAAGAAGGAAATTGTTGAAAGCCATGATCATTAAGGGACACGGCATATAGAAAGTAGAAGAGGTCATGATATATTGTGCTCATCCAGCTTATATTGCTGAAGTTTATATCAGTTAAAAGTATTGTGC